TATATAGAAGACAGGCCTATGAAGTGAACAATTACATCAGGCAGGTATAAACCTTAGAAGAATCAACCGTGAGAGATCAGAAGGACAACACTTGTATAAGAGAAAGCCCAGAGGGCAGGAATGCATAGGAAAGAAGGACATAGGGAAAAAGGTAACCACAGAGAGAAAGTGGGAAGAGAACTATTACACAGTCATATTACAATCAATGTCACAAACAAAATGTGAATGGAAAATGAATTTGCTCTATAAACTTCCACTAAAATCACAATACAAAAATTTTTAAAAAGGTGCTAAGTAAGAATCTCACCTTTCCAACATTTCAGGAGCCCTAACTCATCGTGGGGAAATGCTAAGTTCATACTCCTTGATGAGCAAGGGTTAGGAAAGATAAAGATAGGTCTAGGATATTTCTGTGGGAAGGGAGTGATTGTGACTAGAATACAGTTCCATGGAATTTCTTCTGTAATGTATTACTGGGTATTAAGGCAGGCAAAGTTCATAAAGCCCCTAGGAAAGCTAGTTTTCTTCTCAGGTCTTTGCAAAATATCAGGCATAGATATCCATTTTAGGAGAAAGAGTCTCTTTAATTATTTCTAGATGTTTGATTATTATTTATTAATAATTATAAATCACATCAGTAATGGATTCTCAACTATTTATCTAGATCTTCCCGTGTAATTGGTGAATTAGGAAAAATTGAGATTATTGTCCCTACTTTAGAGATAAGGAAACAGATCAAGGATCAGAGAAGTTAAATGCCATGCCAAAATCACAACCTGAAAATCAATGTGTAACATATATAGAAAATAAATCAATAAATGATCTTGATCCGGTTAGGCAGGAACTCCTGTCCTTTCAGAGCACAGTCAGACAGCAGTTAGTTGCAGTTTATATGTTATAATTAGGCTGCAGGAAAGGGGGTAGGGGTAAGAGGAAGCACAGCAAAGACCAAGGCACAAGCAGGCTCTGCCTGAAGTGCTCACAGCTCCTGAGAGCAAAGCTTGAGCCTTAGGAGGCATGACTTAGTGCCACTAAGTGGGGATAGGACACAGGCTACCGAAAACCCTGGGGACAGGAGGCTTGGGACAGTTGCTTCTTCTTGACTCAAATCCCAAAGAAGATCCCAGAGCCTATCATGCCCCTGAGGAGCTTTCTCAAGTGCACCAGTTTCTGCCTCCACGTCCTTTTGGGAGAAGAGCAGAGATTTGTGAAGATAAAGCCAGCTGCTCCCTTGGCAGCTCCCTCCTTCTCAAACTTCTCTCACTGTAAGTGGAAAGCTTCAGTGGAGTTGCATGAAGCCAGTGGAAAGGGCCAAGTACTGTACTTCAGACTAAGGACTGTGGTCAGAGCTGGAACTGCAGGAAAACAGGAAAGTGATGACAGGTGTGGTGAGGTGGAAATTAAGAAGGTACTCTCACTTACCTTCTATGGCTTGTACTGGTCTTAGGTATCAGTCCCTTTTCACCCCCAAATGCAGTTTCCTTCTTTCTTATACTTTGGCATGTCTATAGAGGGAGAAAAGGAGCTCTGGTGGCACAGGTGTGAGACATTTGACTGCTAACTAGAAGTTTGATGATTCAAACCTACCAGCCACTCCATAGGAATAAGATGAGGCAATCTACTTCTGTAAAGATTTACAGCAGCGGAAACCCAATGGATGGTCACTATTAGCCTGAAATGACTCTATGGCAGTGGATTTTTGTTTGTTTGTTTTAGAGATAGAAATCTTGACAATCACATTCAAATGCTTTATCAACAAACTTTAGTCCTTCCTCCCAGTACAGTGGATACTTGCCTCTTTCTGTGCCAAACATTGAGGGCAGTCTCCAAGAAGTCTTAGCTGATTATCCGAGCTTGGATCCTGTCACTTCTTACCTCCTGTCATTACTCCTCCCAGCCCCCACCAGAATCCCCATCTGAATTAGGAGATTGCCACTGTAGTCAGGAAAGAGATAATGGGGCCTGAAGTAGGAAGATGGCAAGGAGAGGTAGGAAGTATATTTCCTTATAGGTCCTTCTGCCACAAGACAATTCTTGAAGCATCTAAGGTAAGTGATGGTCTTCCTTATTTGGGCATTAATTTTCTGAATCTATAGTTTTCATATCTTCTTAGGATAAATGGCAGACTAATAAGTAGCTGCCAGAACTGAATGAATACTTTCTGTGCACAGGGGCTCTATCAAACACTTCTGGGAGAGATGAAGAAATAGAAAACAAATGCTGTGGTCAACTATGGGCATTTTGGCTCTGAAAACAGGATATGACTTCAGGCCAATGACTCCTAAACACTGGATAATATATTTGTTGTTGTTGTTGTTGTTTGCTGTCGAGTCAGACCTGACTCATAGCGACCCCTCCTTGGGTTTCTGAGGCAGTGTCACTACAGAAGTAGATTGCCCAACCTTCCTTCCGAGGAGTGGCTGATGGGTTTGAACCTCCAGATTTCTGTTAGCAGTCAAGTGCCTTAGCTGCTATGCTACCAGAGCTCCCAGATAATATATTTACTGCCGAGAAATTTCTTGGGTCCTAGCAGTTAGGCAAAGAATGGCTTTCCTATCCTACTCTGAGATCCTGATTCTGGGAGGAGAAGATTTTGCATGAACTTCAAAGGAAATGAAGCTCAATGACTGATGGGCACTCTGTGTTTGTAGAGGAAGAATTAGAACAGATAATTTTTTCTTTGTGTGAGGATGGGTGTGCAAGTCACAGGTTGGTCAATGATGCTCATATGAAACATGTAGGAAGTCAAGGGACGTGTAGACTTAGAGATAAAGTGAACCATGCTTAGATTTATGGAAAATGCCTATTCACAGAGGATAGTTATATGGGATCATTCTATAGTCATTTATAGAGTTTCTGTTATCTACTAGGAACTGTTCTAGACAATGGTGATATAGCAGTAAAAAACAAAACAAAAAAATGTCCCTACTATCATATTTGTTTGCTATACATCTCACTGTTCATTCATGCACAAATATTACTAAGATGCACAAATAGTAGTAAGATTTGGCAAAAACACTTTCCAATGAGAAGATTTTCTTTTGATGCAAGTAACCAAGGGGTGTGTGTGTGGTTCTTAGAACTTCCATCCTGGATGCATTTAAAATTAGGAGATAACCAACCAGTTGAAGCATGTAGAAGCTTTGCAGAAGACCCACTGCAAAAAGTCATAAGGCTTATTTTCTAGTAGTCTGGTGGTTCATGTTTCACTTGAAGTGAAATGTTCAACTACTGTGCATGCTAGAGGGTGAAGATATAGAAGTGAACAGTCCCTTCACTTTAAGTGCCTTCATTTCACAATATTGGGGTCATTTGTGGAAGAAATAGATATCAGAGAACCAATGGGTGACTTTAAATCATTGTTAGGTGGCTTTTGTAGCAAAAGCAGATGAGAGAAGATGGTGTCAGTTTGATGACCAAAGTGTGTCTGACCCAAACCTACTCTCTTCAATTGCCTCACATGCATGGAAAAGTTAGATAATTAAAAGGGAATACAGAAGAAGGATTCTTGCATTTAAATTGTGATGTTGGTAAAGAATATTAAATATACCATAGACTGCAAGAGGATGAACAAGCTGGTCTTAGAAGAAATACAATTAGAATGTTTCTTGTAAACAAAATGGTGAGACTTTGTCTTACTTATTTTGGACACATCATCAGGAAAAACCAATAGCTAGAAAAGGACATCATGCTTTATAGAGGCCAACAAAAATGAAGAAGATCCTGAATGTGATGGATTGACACTTTAGCTTCATCAATGGACTCAAATATACTAATAGTAATGAAGATGGCGTAGGACTGAGAAACATTTCATTCTGTTACACAAAATGTTGTCCTGAGTTAGAGCCAATTTAAGGCAACTCATAATAGGAATAAAACAAAAAAAAAGAATAAAGTCTGGATAAAAACGGGGAAGCTCAATGTTTGAGGACTTGTCAGAAGAGGAGAAAAAAAATGAACAAGTGAAGAGAGAAAGTTTAAACATTGTCAAGAGAAAAGGGTATTTGATCTGGTAGTCAGAGATCAGTATTGGTAAAGAGACGAGAGAGTCTCCAGTAATGGAAATTAAGGCACTGTTAGATGTGAGAAGGTAGAGTCACAAGAACAGAACAATGAACATGAATATTGATGAAGGAGAACCAAAAAAAAAAAAAAAAAAGAGGCTCCTCATCTTCTCAGTCAGCTGGCAGGAGGATTATATTTCAAGAGGTTTATAGGTGTTGAAAGAACCTGGAAGATATATTCTAGACCACTGTTCTCCAAATGGACTTTCTGCAATGGTGGAACTATAATGTATCCACATTGTTTAATATGGTGGCCAACAGTCACTTTTGGTAGTTGAACACTTAAGAAGTGTATTGTGTGAGTGAGAAACCAAAATTTTAAATTTTATTTAATTTTAATACATATGATTTTAAATTTAAATAGCCACATGTAGCTAGTGTTGATTGTATCAGACAACATAGTTCTAGAGAAAATGTAATGATTGTTATGATTAATTGGTGCATTGATAACTGCAGGGTTTATTTGATTTACACAGTCACCCAAATATGAGATTTTACAACAGAAAATTTAATTTTGTGATTGGGAGTTTTGTTTGATTAGTATGTTGGATGGTGCCAGTAGAAATATACTAAACATATTTTTACTTTTTTTTTTTTTTTAAATTAAGGTCATCCTGACATCCTTAAAAACACAGAAAACACTACCTCATCTCTATTCCTTTAAGAATGCTGTTTTGTGATATGAGTTCTATTGATATTTAATATTATATCTAATCAACTAGACTCCAAGTCCCTTAAGGGCAGGAAATATGGCTTATACAACTCTACATCTATGAGGATGCCTAGCTTTCTCGCATAGTGTTTAGAAATGTGAAAAAGAGCTAATCTTCCATGTAGGACATGAGAGGTTGAACTCTGTAATCCTGTGTGCCTAGAAGTTTTTTAAAGAAAGTGAAGAACCTCTGTGAAAATTAGTAAGGAGAATTTCCTGAAGCAATGTCAGCCCCCAATATCACCTCAACCCATCCATCTGTCTTCTTGTTGGTAGGGATTCCAGGTTTGGAACACCTGCACATCTGGATCTCCATTCCCTTCTGCTTTGCCTATATACTGGCCCTTTTGGGCAACTGCACCCTGCTCTTTGTCATCCACGCTGACGCAGGCCTACACGAGCCCATGTACCTCTTCCTGGCCATGCTGGCAGCCATTGACCTGGTCCTCTCCTCTACGACACTGCCCAAAATGCTTGCCATATTCTGGTTCAGGGATAGAGAGATCAATTTTTATGCCTGCCTAGTTCAGATGTTCTTTCTTCACTCCTTCTCCATCATGGAGTCAGCAGTGCTGTTGGCTATGGCCTTTGATCGCTATGTGGCCATCTGCAAGCCACTGCACTATACCACGGTGCTGACTGGGACTCTAATTACCAGGATTGGCATAGCTGCTGTGGCCCGGGCTGTGACACTAATGATCCCACTACCCTTTCTGCTCAAGCGTTTCCACTATTGCCGAGGCCTAGTGATCACCCATTGCTACTGTGAACACATGGCTGTGGTAAGGCTGGCCTGTGGAGACACTCACTTCAACAATATCTATGGCATTGCTGTGGCCATGTTTATTGTGGTGTTGGATCTTCTGTTTGTTATCCTATCCTATATCTTTATCCTTCGGGCAGTTCTACAGCTTGCCTCTCAGGAGGCTCGCTACAAGGCATTTGGGACATGCGTCTCTCATATATGTGCCATCCTGTCCACCTATACACCAGTGGTCATCTCCTCAGTCATGCACTGAGTAGCTCGCAGTGCAGCCCCCCATGTCCACATACTACTTGCTATTTTCTATCTGCTTTTCCCACCCATGGTAAATCCCATCATCTATGGAGTTAAGACCAAGGAGATTCGTGATCACGTGCTCAGTCTATTCTGGAGAAAGTACATGTAGATGGATAGCTCTTTCCTTATTCATATGTCTAGTACTACGTGGATGGTGGGTAGAGGTGACTGACAAAATCTAAAGTAAGAAAATTACACATTCTTCATGTGGGCAATTCCCCAGTATGGTAAGGAAAAAGGTACCATTCCTCAGAAGGCCGCCAGTTAGGTCAGGCCTGGTTTGTCCCTATTCTCTGCCCTGATTGTTGAGATTTGATCTCTTGATTCTCATAGACTCACAATTAATGAAAACAAAAACCTTCCAATGTTGTATACTCCGGACATGCATTGTCATTTTGGTAAAAATATAGTGTAAATATTGGCTAAGATTGGACTGAATAGTATAGATTTTGATGAGCTCTTCATGTAGGCTGTGAATGAGGAAATCATCCTCAAATTTTGTAACCCAAAGGCTAATAGTGAAATTACCTCTATATCTTTTTTCTGAAAACTGACCTCAAGTCTCTGCCTGAACATAGCCACTGTTTGTTTACCTACTACCTCACAAGGGTATTGGCTCTACAGTTAGAGAGTTTTACTGACATGGAGACTTATTCTTTCAATAAAGTCAGCTCCTCTTTGATTTTCTTTCCTGATCTTACCCATGTGCATGATCAGTTTATTCTTGAAACTCTTAGCAAAGGAGCCCTCTGGTATCCTTATATATTAATGTCTAATATTATGAAGGCTGGCGGTTCAAACCCACCAGCCACTCCTCGGAAGGAAGGTTGGGCAATCCTACTTCCATAGTGATACTGCCTCGGAAACCCAAGGAGGGGGTCGCTATGAGTCGGGGCCGACTCGACGGCACATAACAACAACAACAACAACAACAACAATATTATGAAATTAACTGTTCACATACATATGCATTTTATCTCCAAAAATTCTCAGACATATCTAGAATGAATAAATTTATGAATTAAAAGGTAACTACCATCTTTGAGTTCTGCACTAGGAAACACCTTTCTCTCTCGAGTTGAGACTTATGGAGATAAATGAGAAAATAGATAGTTATAATTCATAGTTATGATTGACTTGACTATATTATTGTTACAAATATTTACTCTCCTGTACTCTCACCATGGAAGAAATATTTCTTGTCTTCACTGATGTTACCAAAACTGACTGCCGTCAAATTGGATCCGACTCATAGTGACCTCTTCCTGGATTTCCCAGGTGGTATCACTACAGAAGTAGATTGCCCAACCTTCCTTCTGAGGAGAGACTAGTGGGTTTGAACCACCAGCCTTCTGGTTAGCAGTCACATGCCTTAGGCACTATGCCACCAGAGCTCCCACCTGGTCATATCATTTGCTTTGGCCAATGAAATTTTAGTGGCCTTGAAGTATGCCATTATGAAAAGAAACTTTAAAATGTGTTTGTACGGCTTGACTCACTTTCTCTTGGTCTTCTCTTCTGCTGCAAGAATTAAAATGTCCCACATGAAACTTTGTCCTTCATTCTGGACCAGGATGAAGAAAACACATGGAGCAGATGTGAATCTGATTCACAGCCTGGAACATAGCACGTATGACCCACAGTGTTTATACAATACAAGTAAAGATTTGTTGTTACTGTAGTAATCAACCATTGAGATTTGAGGGTTATTTGTTTCATCATATAACCTAGGGAAAGCTGATTACTGGAGTTGTGAGCTCTATATTGCAATGTAATTTTAAATAGTTTAAGATTATGTATTTGAAGGAAATAAAGAAAATGCACCAGTCCTTATTCTTCTCTATCCTACAAACTATGGGCTTTCAGTCATGATTTTGCTTCTGTTTGTCTCCTTCTTATGCAAACTCCATACCTGAGGATTCTTTTAGTCAGCTCTTTTTCATAGAAATTCTCATATACTCACTTTCACAAAGGGTCACTTACACTATCCTGTTCTTTTATAATTTATTTTATAACAAAATTGCAACTTCAGTAACAATTAAGAAGGAAGTTCTTCAATTCTAAGGAAAAGAAAAACCTAGTAGATTCTGTGAAAGCATGTTGTGGCCTATGCTGTTGTGCCACAGGTTGGTACACAGGAACATAAAAAGGGTGATGATTTCAATGACTGTCTGGCCAGTTCCCAGAGGCATCATTCCTATAGCCAATGATTTCAGGATGGCAGTGGTATGAACTGAGGACTTCTGACTATGTTCTCTGAGACTTACATGCTCCTACTTTTTTGACCTTCTCTGTATCAACCAGCTGACACAGAGAAGGTAAACTGGAGGAGTGATGCTTAATTTTTAGCCAAAAACCAAACCAAATTCACTGCCATCGAGTCAGATCCAACTAACAGCAATCCCTCATTGGGTTTCCAAGAGGGTATCACTATGGAGGTAGATTGCCCAATCTTCCTTCCATGAAGTGACTGGTGGGTTTGAACCACCAGCCTTCTGGTTAACAGTCAAATGCCTTAGGCACTATGCAAACAGAATTCCTATAGAGACACAAAACTCTTGTTAGTTTTTCGTAAGCAGAGTTCAGAATTCTGTGTGCTAGATTAGATTATTGTTCAAAAATATTCACTCTCACTTGGGAAGATGGTGCCTTACCTATTGCCCACACATTTGTTCCCTCTAACATCTTAATGCCTGCAAAACTAGGTGCAGCAGTTTGAAGCAGAGATTTTGGGGCTGTGAACAGCTCGTTAAATTAGAGAAGGCCAGATTTAGTGGAGAAGGAGAAGAAAGGAGGGAGAAGCAGGGTAAACAGCTGGGAAAAATAAAAATAAATGAGCCTGACCTGAGGTGCACCAGCTGTCAAGACAGAGCATAAGAGGGCTTCCTGGGCAGTGGAGTGGGAGCACTGGAGGACCAGAGGCCACTCCAGGGTTCTCCCCACAGCACCAGCTTCTATTGGTAACTTTGGGACTGGTGCAGAGTGGGAGGGTGGCATTTCTGAGAAGTGGAGTGGAGACCCCTTTGGCTTGGGTTGTCACTGAATTGTGAACAGAGAGGGACGCACACCACAGGTGGGTGGGCTCTGGGATGAGCTAACAGCATGGGGCTGGGGTCCAGGTATTCCAGGACAGATTTTTGGCATGAAGAGGCCCGGATTATGGGTTTTTTGTGGCTGTTTGAACATGGCAGAAAGTGGTGGCCCCATAACCATTGGGGTCTATGGTGAATTTGAGCTGCAGGCCTATGAATTACAGCATAATGTCATCATTGGCAGCCAACCCCCAAACCTGGAAATGTGCTACTGGGCCCTTGGACCTTTTTTTTTCTTTTCTTCCTCCTTTCCCTGCCACTCCCCTGCCTCATCCAATAGAAGAACCACATTGTTGTTGTTGTTGTTGTTAAGTGCTGTAGAGTCGTTTCTGATTCATAGTGACCCGATGCACAGCAGAACGAAACACTGCCCGATCCCGCGCAAGCCCCATAATCCCTGCTATACTTGAG